CTTATAATGTTATTTTTAATAGTAATAAATATGTAATTAGAATACACTTTTATAAAATTTTGTAATTAATATTTAATTACTTTCATCATCATCATCATTACAGCCCTTCACAAGTCCACTGCTGAACATAGGCCTCCCCCAAGGAATGCCACAAAGCACGGTCCTGCGCCACCTGCATCCATCGACTTCCTGTATCTCTTACCATGTCGTCACTTCATCTAATAGGGTTCGCCCTACACCTTGCCTACCGGTACGAGGCTGCCTACTCAAGAACCTTTTTTCCCCAACGGTTGTCGGTTCTCCGAGCTATATGGCCTGCCCATTGCCACTTCAGCTTACTAATCCGTTGGGCTATGTCGGTCCCCTGTTTCTACTGCGGATATCCTCAATTCTAAGTTTATCACGCAGAGAAACCCCGAGCATAGCCCTCTCCATAGCACGCTGAGTGACCTTGAGCGTCCTCATACGGCCAGCAGTGAAGGACCACGTAATTTAATAACTATTAATTACTTTTCTGAAAAAATAAAAGTGATTTCAAATACAATAAAGAGTAAAATGATTGACTGCTCCTTGATGCAGTGCTTTAGCAACAAGTTATGAGTTACGACACTGAGGGCCGCGGGTTCGAATCCCGCAAGGAACAAGTATTTTTATGACCTACAAGTAATTTTTAAGGGTCTGAATATTTTTCTTTGTGCAATTTATGTATGTAAACTACCTCCACGATACATGAGAAAATCCTTTCTCTGTAAATTTAAATTTTTTTACTTTTTAAGTGGACAAAGGAATATCACATGTTCAAGGTAACAACTAGAATGTAGACTAAATAGTTATTAAAATCTAAATGGCGTGTAATCCCAGAATCCTATTAAACAAAAGAAGAACCATTAAAATCGGTTCAGTCGTTACCGAGAAGTCGGTAAACATATAGCTAAAAAAACATACGTCGAATACACATAATACATACTTTATAATAATACATACTTTATAATAATACATACTTTCTAATGCTTGGAATTCGGTTAAAAAAAATTAACGAATTGAGAATCTCTTTCGTTTTTGAATTCGGTAAATTAAACACATAGTAATAACAAAGTGACTGCGACTGGTGTGAAATATTTGGTTTCAAATAATTTGTAGTAGAGAAACAAATTAAAAAAAATCCATATTGTCCAAAAATACAAATGAGCACACAGTTCACCTGATGGTAAGTGAATGTTGTGCCCATAGACATCAATATCTATCCTCAATTAATAATCAAAATGTGGATAGGTTGCCAGCCCTGAAGACTAAGATGGATTACCTCGTTTCTAGTAAAAGGGTATTCGGTTCTCTACACTCACCATACGAAACAAAGTAGCATTTAGCTGCTATTTTACGCTGGTATTCTGTGAGAGCGTAGTCCTTCCCCGGTCGAGCCAACCAATTCGTGCTGCAACTATACGAGGGCAGCACTGAAAATATCGGGAATCAAGGAAGTGACACAACATTACTATTTAAAAATGTATTTATTGCTTTTCGAAGTATTCTCCGCAAAATTTGACACCTTTTTCCATACGATGGAACCATTTATTGAAGCAACCATTCCATTCGGAAGTTGGGGTCTCCAAAATGGCTGTTTTGTAGGTGTCCACAGCTTCTTCAGGTGATGAAAATCTCTGTCCACGCAATTTATTCTTTATTTTAGGAAAAGTATAGAAATCATTAGGGCTTAAGTCGGGGCTGTACGGCGGATGGTCTATTAATTCTATGTTTTCTTGCTCTAAAAACTCTTTTGTTCTGTGTGCGGTGCGGGAACTCGCATTGTCGTGATGGAGGATGATGCGGCGGTTGCAGTTCTCTTTACGGAGTTCAGAAACGACCTGTGGCAAACAAATGCTAGCATACTATTCTGCATTAACCGTTCTTTGTCCCTCAAGAGGAATCGTTGTAACATGGCCGGTTTTGGAGACAAACGTGGCCACCATTTCTTTTGCAACACTCCGTGAACGAACAATTTTTGTTGGCTTTAACTCATTTTTGAACACCCAAACTCGTGACTGGTTTTTTGTTTCGGGTTCGTACGCGTATATCCAGGATTCGTCACCTGATACGATGTTATATACAGCATTTGAGGATCCTGCGTGGAATCTTTCGAGAGTTCTGATGCACCAAGTAACGCGAGCCGCTTTTTGCTCTTCACAGAGCGAATGCGGTATCCATCGGGAAAACAACTTTTTTACACCTAACTGTTCATGCAAGATTATTTGTATTTGACTCATGCCTCTACCTAAAGTTGCCTGAATTTTGGTCTTCTATCATTTTCTTGGGTGACTGCAGTTTTTGGACGACCTTGACGGGGATCATCACTGAGCTTGACAAGTCCACGTTGAGATTCAGCAAACCAGCGATAAATTGTGGTTTTGGATGTGGCTTCATCACCAAATGCAGAAATCATCCGGTCAACACACTGTTTTGGTGTTAAACCACTTCGAAAGTCATAATAAATCATCGCTTTTGAATGTTCTCGAGGCAATTCCATTTTCTCAATGACTAAACAAGTTTGACAAAACCTTGAGACAAGACCGAGAATCTTTTTTTAAATAAATAAATGGTTGGATTTTAATATGACAAGAACAGTGGAAATATTCCATTCCCGATACTTTTAGTGCACCCTAGGTAATATAACTGCGGCATGGCTCTACCATATGTATAGTAGAAGAGATAACGATAACAAATACCGTCGAAAAGCATAGGTCATCCTTAACCCAACAAAAATCTTTATAAAAACAATTATATGCGATTTTATGGATTATAACTTCCTGTCAGATAAGAAAACGTCTTAAGAACAACATTAATAAAGACGCTTAATAAAATATTTTAATATTTATAGAGTTATAATTCAGTCATCCGGTAACAACAAGCTGCGACAGACAAATAAATTAACGAAATTCTATACAGAAGGCCACTTTGCAAACACGAACAAATGCTTAGGAAGCAAATTTTTTTTTTATTTAATTTAAATGTCTTTTGCTTACATTTATATTACAAGCAAACGCTTTACAACAATGACAAAAGTTTAGTATCGGTTTTGGGATTTAAAATATTTTTTTTAAATAATGGTTAAATCCTTTTCTGGAAAGGAAGCCGCCTCGGTTGATAATTACCTCTTTTCTATTACTACCATAGTATTTCATGAGTATGAAATTATATCGTACTATGCAAATAATAATAATCATTTTATTGATTAGAATAATATGAATAAGTAAAGAATCATTAACAATTAAAATTATTAACAAATAATAACAATAAGAAATCAATATAGAGATATAAATGTAAATATTTATTAATAATATTATAAGTTGCTTTAACCGCGCGTAAAGGTTTCACCCGTAAAGGTTTCCACCCCAGAGTAAATATGTATATAATTATAAAGGTTACACGCACTTTTTTAGAATCCTTTACATAATTATTGTGTCGTCGTTAGACATCAAACAAATTTATACCTTACATTTCACTAACTGGTAATTTAAACACAATGAGATCTAAAGGTTTGAATATTTTGAGTAAACATAACAACATGTATCTGATGGATATAAATAAATCCTTGTAGCTGACATATCATCTCGATGAGATCATATAACAACAGTTAATGCTATTATTATATATATATTTTGTAGCACTAATGCCCAACTCTTAATATTGATATTTACAATGGAGACGAAAGCCTCCTTGACAGTTTTGCAATTGATTACCAATTTAACTCACGACACCGCCTCGTGATATTAGACATGCATACAATAATAATTCACTGGCTCCCTGATTTTACAATAGTGACATCATTTTGAATTACCTGTAAACTTAATTAGTAATTTTATGTGAAAGTAAATAAATAATTATGAACACATTTTGCACACACATTATTGAATTTCTTTGCAATTCATCATCATTAGAGCCCTTCACAAGCCCACAGCTGAACATAGGCCTCCCCCAAGGTATGCCAGAAAGCACGGTCCTGAGCCACCTACATCCATCGACTTCCTGCATGTCTTACCAGGTCGTCACTCCATCTAGTGGGGGGTCGCCCTACACTACGCCTACCGGTACGAGGGTGCCACTCGAGAACCTTTTTTCCCCAACGGTTGTCGGTTCCTCGAGCTATATGGACGGCCCATTACCACTTCAGCTTACTAATCCCTTGGGCTATGTCAGTCACTCTGGTTCTACTGCGGATATCCTCATTTCTAAGTTTATCACGCAGAGAAACTCCGAGCACAGCCCTCTCCATAGCCCGCTGAGCGACTTTGCAATTGCTTAGTTTTAATATCAACTTTTAAAATATGCTAATTACGCGTAATTTAAAAAAACCTAATGTTTTTTCTTAATTACTTAATTGAACTGTGATGTACGAATCTTATAATATATCAATTTCGCTGAAATTCGTTTTTCATGAAAGGATGGAATTTTCATTGAAGGGATTTCATCTTAGTCCTCAGAAGTGTCAACGCATCTGCATTTAAATTATTAATCGAACATGGATGTATATACCTACGGGCAACAGCATCTACTTACCATCAGGTTGGATCTGCTCACTTTTGTCACTCCGATCCTATAAAAAATGGTATTTACGCGGTATCATTGTTATTTTAAAAGTTTCTTTTTAATTTATATATTTATTACGGTAAATAAATCTAACAATTAGTAATTAAAGACAGAAAAACGTGTAAAATAAAGAATTTTGTGCACTTAGTCGAGCTTCAACATAACATCTAATAATTACAGACAAAGTAATACCGCACGGCCCGTGCGCATGACGCAAAATGCGCACCCAGTCTTAAAAATTTTGCAACATACTTTACGGAGACAAGTATTTGCTGGATACAAATATTCAATGTCTTTTGCTACAATACAAACGTTTTTATAAATACTTCTATTACATATAAAATAAAATAGAAATAACCGATAACATTTATATATACCTTATACTGTAGTTTAACAATATGCTCTCATTTTGGTTTTAGGCATCGCTGGTACTGACGGCAACCAAAGGTGAATCTCGAAATAATAGAATAAAAAAAGAAGCTAAACATGTTAGTATAGAAGGACGTCACCTCTACGACAGTACATATACCAATGATAATGAAGTGGTAGTTGATATACAAGACAATGAGAAAAACCAGTACTACGAAACGAATTACGATACCAGTAAGTACTTGTATTGCTAAAAGATCTACTTAAGTTATTGCCAATATCAAATTTAGATGAAATCACTATATACGGTTTATTTCGAAAATTTAGATTTTTTTCTTATAAAAATCAAGATTAACAAATACAAAATTCCAAAGTAAAATCGTCATTTTCTCATGATTTTCAGATGCATACGGTTTTGGTTACGACGTAGGTCCGAACGGCCAGTTCCACCACGAATCCCGCGGCCCAGATGGGGTCACATACGGATGTTACGGATACGTAGATCCTGACGGTTATCTCCGCGCTACGCACTACGTGGCGGACAGTCACGGATACCGCGTGGTCGAACCGGAAAAGCCAGTAGAAGTGTTCCCTGACGAAAAATATGAATACGATGAGAAGTGAGTAAAATTTTTTGTAACGTAATTTAAACAGTGAGATATTTGATATTACAATCTAGTTTTAGAGGAATTTAAAAAAAACACGTTTTTTTCATCTTTTAACTATAATTGCTTTTATTACAGTCCAGAAACAACAGAGGCTGTACCTGGCCAAACTATTGCATGGGATAAACTATATTTCCCTAAGGGATGCGGTCGAACTCCTGGTGGCGTGCCTGCAAAACCTCCTCCGAAACCGACTCGTCCTTCACGTCCACCGCCAGACAGCGCTGGGCAAACAAGCAATCCAAAACCTGATGTCTTACCACCAAGTAAGTAAAAAATGATAATTTGAATTAATATCTCTAAAATAATCAATCCATGTTACGTAACACAAGATAGGGATACGATCTATTAATGATAATAATAATATCCTCCAGACCGAGTTTCGGTCACGGCGGCAACGGTCTCAACAGAGGTTGGCCATATGTGGGGGACAGGATTATTGTGCCCGTGTACGCGCAGTCATAAGTGCACTCTATTCCCTCACCCTCATGGTCTGATGTGACGGTTATACGACACGACCGGAGAAAAATCAAGCGCAGGACCAACGGCTTTATGTGCTTTCCAAGGCTCGGAGATGACACAGCCAACTTCCTGACCTGGGCTGCTGCTGAGAAGTCCTTGACAGGACAACCTAATAATTGATTTCGGCCTGCACTTCTCAAGATATTTTCTTATACCACATAGCACGAGGTAAATCAGCACTTCTAATTGCAATAAACAATTTAATCGGTTCAGGCACTGCACACTATGAGCGACCTGGGCTCTTTTTATACCCACTTTTTTTAAAAAAAACTTCAACTAAAAACGAAAAATTTTATATAGAGATTGTCATCTATATTTATAACAAGTTTTTTATTTGCGAAAATTCTACATCAATTATTCTCTATTTGTTTCATTTTGACAAAAAAAAATAAACAACAAAATAAACTTCTAGATAGTGGTGGACCAAGCGGTCCTAACGGCCCATACGGACCTGGCTATTATCCCGGAACTTCAGGAACACCCGGATCTCCTGGCTCTCCCGGATCTCCTGGTTCACCCGGCTCTCCCGGCTCACCTGGTTCTCCCGGCTCTCCCGGCTTACCCGGTTCTCCCAGCTATCCTGGTGGACCTGGTATCACAGGTGGACCCGGAGGACCTACCGGACCCGGAGGACCGAACGGACCCGGAGCGAACCCTAACGCTCCTGGAGGACCAAGCGGTCCTAGTGGACCAGGAGGTAATCAATGTGCGTAATTATTCTATCACCGCTCACCAATCGGGTTATCCTCATGTGTGATTGTAACACAAATGAGGATGACCCGATCGGTGAATGATCACGTTGTTACAAAATAACAGCATAAAATAGCAACTTACGAGTGCTATGTTTCTTATGATGAGTGTAGAGAGCAGAAGATCTTTTTTTCTGCAAACAAACCATTCCACCGTAGTTCTCACGGTGACAACGCATTCGTATTTTGATTCTTAATCTAAGACAGATGTAGATGGGCGTGAATGTGTATGGTTCACAGAATTTATTTAACATCAGGTTAATTATGTGCTCGTTTATCACCCTTTTTACTATAAATTAAAATAAAATAAAAAGAACATGGCACAATAAATTTACATTTATAATAAATAGATATTCGATTCTTTTCGATTCGAGATTTATATAAATAAATAGTTGAACCATCAAGGGTAATAAGGGTAATAATACGATGTACAGTCCGCCTGTCCCCCTTACGACAGGAAAGTTCTAATTACAGTCGTGGACTCTGACAAGAAAAAAAATTAATTATTTATTTTTTTACACTCCATTAATATTATTTTCTAAGAAATTTCAAAAAAAACACAAGCAAAATTTTAATCATCGAATATGTAGCCGTGGAAGGAAAAGTGGAGATCTCCCGCCGGGCAAGGTGTTCTGCCAGGGGAGCGGCCAACACTCCATGTGATAGTTCGGAGATGTTCTATATATACTGTTTATGATTCGGAATTTTGATAGCGTGATTTAGGCTTCGGTGTGTTTTACTTGCGGCGCGGCGGCAGCACCGCCACATCACCCCCCTGCTCAGTCCGGAGGTTGATAGTGCAGCCTCGTTGCCGACGAATGTGCAAGTGCCAGTGGATTGCCTTGTAGTCTGCGGTGAGTCGAGAAGAAGGCAAGTAATCTGCGAGAGTGCCGTGAAGCAGAGGCGAGCAGTAAGGCTCAGAGCCATGCCGAACACTGTATAGCGCAGAGAGTAGCTCGAAGGAACAGGAAGCATTATTATTCCAGTGCTGCGATGAACCTTGTGAAGCTTGATGGCTTGCAGGATATGAAGACTGCAGACGATATCTGCTCGGGAGAGAATGGGTGGGATATTCTATGACGATGATAAAGCTTGAAGTTTCCGAAGGTTGTTGGTTGCGTGTTCAGATCACGTCGGCTAGTCACCACTGTGGCCGTGGAAGGAAAAGTGGAGATCTCCCGCCGGGCAAGGTGTTCTGCCCGAGGAGCGGCCAACACTCCATGTGATAGTTCGGAGATGTTCTATATATACTGTTTATGATTCGGAATTTTGATAGCGTGATTTAGGCTTCGGTGTGTTTCGCTTGCGGCGCGACGACAGCGCCGCCACAAATACATCGTTTTAATTTATCATTTTTGTCTCCAGGGCAAGGAGGGTATTATCCTGGCACACCCGGAAGTCCCGGATCTCCTGGCATTCCAGGTCGTCCAGGAGGCCCTGGAGGTCTAGGTGGACCCGGAGGACCCAACGGACCCGGAGGACCAAGCGGACCTAGTGGACCAGGAGGTAACCAATGTGCGTACTAAATCCAAAATTGCTCATCAACGGTCATTTGATTAGCACCCATGCTCATTGTATGGGTGCTAAATGCATTATATCTTTAAAACTAGCTAGCTAAAATTTTCGCAAAAGCCTCCATAAATAAATAAACCTATGGTTTCACTTTGAATGATTCCCTATCTATTAAATTAACTTTTACGTAGTAGATCTACGGTGCAGCTACATTATGATTGTAGTACGAATAAGTAGGCTCGATCGAGGCAGGATCACACTCTCACAGGATAACAGCTTAAAATTGCAGCTTATAACTGTAAAGTTCCATATTTTGACTGCAGGCGTGAATGTGTATGGACCACAACATCTATTTACCATCAGGTTAATTATGTGTTCGTTTATTATCAATTTACTATAAAATAAAAAAAATAAAAAGAACATGGCATAAGAAATTTACATTTATAATTGGAAATAAATAGTCGAACCATCAAGGGTTATTAGACGTCCAGTAATGCGATGTCCAGTCCGCCTATCCCCCTTACAACGGAAAAGATCTATTAACAGTCGTGGACTCTGACAGGATCATGAACAAGAAGTATATAAAAATAAAATGTATTTATTTGTTACACTCCACTAATATTAATTTCTAAGATATTAAAAAAAAACACAAATTGAACATTAATCATCGAATACATCGTTTTAATTTATTATTTTTGTCTCCAGGGCAAGGAGGGTATTATCCAGGCACACCCGGAAGTCCCGGATCCCCTGGCAGTCCAGGTGGTCCAGGAGGCCCTGGAGGCCCTGGTGGACCAGGTGGCCCAGGTGGACCTGGAGGACCGAATGGACCCGGAGGACCGAATGGACCCGCAGGACCCAATGGATCCGGAGGCAGCCCTAACGGTCCTGGAGGGCCAAGTGGTCCTAGTGGACCAGGAGGTAATCAATGTGCGTGCTCATTCCATCATTGCTCATCTATGGTCATTTAATTGGAATTTTTGTATTAATCATTATAATTTTAAAACATCGCCAGCTAATATTTTCTTAAAAAACCTTTCAAAACCAATAATTATGCGAATAATAAATAAGATAAATATTATACGGATTTCTTTAAACTATTGCCTATCTAAGTTAAATTTCACATGGTGGATCCACGCTGCATCTATATTATGATTGTAGCACAAAGGAGGATGGCTCGATCGGTGAATGATCACATTATCACAAAATAACAACATAAAATGCAGCTTATAACTGCTATGTTTCATGATATGATGAGTGTAGAGAACAGGAGACCTTGTTTTCTGCAAACGAGCCATTCCATCGTAGTTCTCACGTTGTATCCGTATTTCGATTCTTAATCTAAGACCAATGTAGATAGATGGCCGTGAATGTGTATGTATATATTATTTTATGAGAAATTTCAAAGAAAAACACAAGTAAAACAATCATCGAATATATCTTTTTAATTTATAATTTTTGTCTCCAGGGCAAGGAGGGTATTATCCTGGCACACCCGGAAGCCCCGGATCTCCTGGTATTCCAGGTCGTCCCGGAGGCCCTGGAGGTCTAGGTGGACCCGGAGGACCCAACGGACCCGGAGGACCCAACGGACCCGGAGGACCCAACGGAATTGGAGGACCAAGCGGACCTAGTGGACCAGGAGGTAACCAATGTGCGTACTAAATCCATAATTGCTCATCAATGGTCATTTGATTAGCACCCATGTCACAGAATAAATAATAGTACTACGTACAGAAGTTGCACTCCTTTGATGTCGACTGCTTGCCGACGTTAAATAGCCTACATAATTATTATTAATCAGATAAATCGCGCACGCAAGCTAAATAAAACTTTATCGCTGCGCGTTAGTGTCCGTATTACTTTGCATCTTTTTCGCTTCCTAAGTCACGGCGGACTTTCCGTGGTTATTAAGGGATGTCAATAGAAAGTAAAAGAAATACATTGAGAAATGTTAATTATATTACTTAGGTGAAGTACCTATTCCGACTACGATCGACTGATAATACTTTCGCCCCTATTTTAGTTCTGCGACGCCTAATGCATGCAAATTGCAAGGTTATTCGTCGGGAATCGCAACGCTTGGTTCGGAAGAAATAGGTAGATAGTTTAAACAACAAATAAACCTGAAATGCGATTCCTAACAGGAATGTGATCTATTATTCTACTTAGTTAAAAATCTTGTTAATAAACTAAGTTTTAATTGCAGTATTTCGTGTTATTATAACTTAAAATATTTTAATCACAAAATTTGAATATGTATGTAAGTAAATATTTGGATAGTGAAGTAAATTTTAACTAATTTGTGTAATAAAGTACTTAGGTATTTCTTTTGTAGACCAAATTATTACTTAATTCTTTTTTGCTGAAAGTACCTATCTAACAAAAAAATTAAATAAATTCACCTTTCATAACTTCCTCCTAAAATTTTTCAGTAACTTAAAGAATAATATGAAATCTTTTGTTGGTTATTTCATTTAGTATCTATCCACGCAACAGTTATAAGTAGGAACGACGTTTTGCTATTATAATTTATCAAATAAGTAGGTAATATACATAAGATATCATTTTTAAAATACATTAAAAATTTTGAACTATTTTATCCTATAATTAAATATACTAAACACAAAACCAAAACTATTTCAAGTATTTAAATAAAGTTATATACGTCAACAGCGTTAAAAAAACTTTAACATTCAATCGCCTCCAACGCGCTAGCCCTGACTGCGTTATTTCGCCCCGGCGCGTCGTGACTTTAGGTTATTATTTCACGCAGGTAGCAAGATTTACAGAGGCCTGCCCATGCAATGAACATTACAACTTTTAAACTAGCCAGCTAAAATTTTCGCAAAAACTTCCATAAATAAATAATTCTACGGTTTCACTTTGAATCATTCCCTATCTATTAAATTAACTTTTAGGTAGTATCCACGTTGCAGCTATATTATGATTGTAGTACGAATAGGTAGGCTCGATCGAGGCAGGATCACATTCTCACAGGATAACAGCTTAAAATAGCAGCTTATAACTGTAATGTTCCATATTTTGACTGCAGGGATGAATGTGTGTGGGCCACAACAGCTATTTACCATCAGGTTAATTATGTGCTCGTTTACCACCATTTTACTATAAAATAAAAAAAATAAAAAACATGGCATAAGAAATTTACATTTATAATTGGAAATAAATAGTCGAACCATCAAGGGTTATAAGACATCCAATAATGCGATGTCCAGTCCGCCTATCCCCCTTACAACGGAAAAGTTCTATTAACAGTCGTGGACTCTGACAGGATCGTGGACAAGAAGTACACAAAAACAAAATATATTTATTTGTTACACTCCACTAATATTAATTTCTAAGACATATTTAGAAAAACACAAATTAAACATTAATCATCGAATACATCGTTTTAATTTATCATTTTTGTCTCCAGGGCAAGGAGGGTATTATCCAGGCACACCCGGAAGTCCCGGATCTCCTGGCAGTCCAGGTGGTCCAGGAGGCCCTGGAGGCCCTGGTGGACCAGGTGGTCCAGGTGGACCCGGAGGGCCGAATGGACCCGGAGGACCCAATGGATCCGGAGGCAGCCCTAACGGTCCTGGAGGACCAAGCGGTCCTAGTGGACCAGGAGGTAATCAATGTGCGTGCTTATTCCATCATTGCTCATCTATGGTCATTTAATTGGGATTTTTGTATTAAGCATTGTAATTTTAAAACATAGCCAGATAATATTTTCGCAAAAAACCTTTCAAAACCAATAATTATGCGAATAATAAATAAGATAAATATTATACGGATTTCTTTAAACTATTGCCTATCTAAGTTAAATTTCACGTGGTGGATCCACGCTGCATCTATATTATGATTGTAGCACAAAGGAGGATGGCTCGATCGGTGAATGATCACATTATCACAAAATAACAACATAAAATGCAGCTTATAACTGCTATGTTTCATAATATGATGAGTGTAGATAACAGGAGACCTTGTTTTCTGCAAACGAGCCATTCCATCGTAGTTCTCACGTTGTATCCGTATTTCGATTCTTAATCTAAGACCAATGTAGATAGATGGCCGTGAATGTGTATGGGTCACAGCATCTATTAACCAGCAGGTTAATTATGTGCAGGTTTATCACCATTTTACTACAAAATAAAAAAATAAAAGGAATATGGCATAAGAAATTTACACTTATAGTTGGAAATAAATATCGAACCATCAAGGGCAATAAGACGTCAAATAATACGATGTCCAGTCCGCCTGTCCCCCTTACGACGGGAATATTTTGACAGGTTCATGAACAAAAAGAACACAAACATAAAATATATTTATTTTTTCTACTCCACTTATATTATTTTATGAGAAATTTCAAAGAAAAACACAAGTAAAACAATCATCGAATATATCTTTTTAATTTATAATTTTTGCCTCCAGGGCAAGGAGGGTATTATCCTGGCACACCCGGAAGCCCCGGATCTCCTGGTATTCCAGGTCGTCCCGGAGGCCCTGGAGGTCTAGGTGGACCCGGAGGACCCAACGGACCCGGAGGACCCAACGGACCTGGAGGACCAAGCGGACCTAGTGGACCAGGAGGTAACCAATGTGCGTACTAAATCCATAATTGCTCATCAATGGTCATTTGATTAGCACCCATGTCACAGAATAAATAATAGTACTACGTACAGAAGTTGCACTCCTTTGATGTCGACTGCTTGCCGACGTTAAATAGCCTACATAATTATTATTAATCAGATAAATCGCGCACGCAAGCTAAATAAAACTTTATCGCTGCGCGTTAGTGTCCATATTACTTTGCATCTTTTTCGCTTCCTAAGTCACGGCGAACTTTCCGTGGTTATTAAGGGATGTCAATAGAAAGTAAAAAAAATACATTGAGAAATGTTAATTATGTTACTTAGGTGAAGTACCTATTCCGACTACGATGGACTGATAATACTTTCGCCCCTATTTAAGTTCTGCGATGCCTAACGCATGCAAATTGCAAGGTTATTCGTCGGGAATCGCAACGCTTGGTTCGGAAGAAATAGGTAGATAGTTTAAATAACAAATAAACCTGAAATGCGATTCCTAACAGGAATGTGATCTATTATTCTACTTAATTAAAAATCTTTAGTAAACAAAGTTGTAATTTCAGTATTTCGTGTTATTATAACTTAAAATATTTTAATCACAAAATTTGAATATGTATGTAAGTAAATACTTGGATAGTGAAGTAAATTTTAACTAATTTGTGTAATAAAGTACTTAGGTATTTCTTTTGTAGACCAAATTATTACTCAATTCTTTTTTGCTGCAAGTACCTATCTCACAAAAATATTTTGGCTTTCCATATTTTGACTGCAGGGATGAATGTGTGTGGGCCACAACAGCTATTTACCATCAGGTTAATTATGTGCTCGTTTACCACCATTTTACTATAAAATAAAAAAAAATAAAAAACATGGCATAAGAAATTTACATTTATAATTGGAAATAAATAGTCGAACCATCAAGGGTTATAAGACATCCAATAATGCGATGTCCAGTCCGCCTATCCCCCTTACAACGGAAAAGTTCTATTAACAGTCGTGGACTCTGACAGGATCATGGACAAGAAGTACACAAAAATAAAATATATTTATTTGTTACACTCCACTAATATTAATTTCTAAGATATTTAGAAAAACACAAATTAAACATTAATCATCGAATACATCGTTTTAATTTATCATTTTTGTCTCCAGGGCAAGGAGGGTATTATCCAGGCACACCCGGAAGTCCCGGATCTCCTGGCAGTCCAGGTGGTCCAGGAGGCCCTGGAGGCCCTGGTGGACCAGGTGGTCCAGGTGGACCCGGAGGGCCGAATGGACCCGGAGGACCCAATGGATCCGGAGGCAGCCCTAACGGTCCTGGAGGACCAAGTGGTCCTAGTGGACCAGGAGGTAATCAGTGTGCGTGCTTATTCCATCATTGCTCATCTATGGTCATTTAATTGGGATTTTTGTATTAAGCTTTGTAATTTTAAAGCCAAGCCAACTTAAATTTTTACAAAAAACCTCCTTAAACAAATAATTATCCGGTTTCGCTGCGAATTATTCCCTATCTATTAAATTAACTATTACGTGATAGATCCTAGCTGCAGCTATATTATGATTATAGCACGAATTGGTAGGCTCGATCGAGGAAGTTTGACACTCTCACAGACCAGCTTAAAACTGACTGCAGAGAACAGGAGATCTTTTATTCTGGAAACGAGCCTTGATCCTCAGGGTGACAGCACATTCTTTTTTTAATTCTTAATCTAAGACAGATGAAGATGGGCGTGCATTTGTATGAGCCGCAGTATCTACTTACCATCATGTTAATAGGGTTTTTTACACCATGTACAATAAAATCAAAAAATATAGATTTATGATGATTTTGTAAAATGTAAACGAGAAATACCATTAAAAACATAACTTGTAAAAAACAAAGTCTCGCAACTCAGTTCTACCGTAAAAAGTTGTGAGATCCATGTAATACCAAGTCGGTTAATTTATTCAGTTCCTACTTAAGGGTCCCTCTGTTTTAAGTTATTATGCAATTAGCTAACCTAACAACATTTTATAGTGACCATATCAATGTAAAAGGTCTTTTATGTTATAAATATATAGATTGACTTGGCCATCGCATGAAACCACAATGTATCTCACAAGTAATACGTATTATATTAAATTAGATTGCTTAATGCGATTGCCAAGTCAATCTATATATTTAAAACATAAAAGACTTTTAAAATTGATATGGTCACTATAAAATGTTGTTAGGTTAGCTAATTACGTAATAACTTAAAACAGAAGGACCCTTAAGTAGGAACTGAATAAATTAACCGACTTGGTATTACATGGATCTCACACCTTTTTACGGTAGAACTGAGTTGCGAGACTTGGTTTTTTTACAAGTTATGTTTTTAATGGTATCTCATTTCTTTTTGTATACCTATAAGATAGTCCTAATTTTTTACCTTTCCGGTACATTCTACTTCTTGAGTACCAACAACGTACCTATGTACACCTGTAATAAATATACAAGTACACTGATTCATTCACTGTAAATGTAACTTTGTAATTCTATATATTTATATGGGATTACAAAGATGCAGAGAGGGATGCAGTTAGTGTATCTAAAAAACTGGACATAAATTAACAAATGTTTTAGTTTTTACTTGATTTATACAATAAACACTAATTATATTCTAAATTTGAAGCTTCTATAGCTGCTAAAAGTGCCTTAGAGTTTTGATGATCGGTCAGTCAGTGAGTGACAAAATTAAGAAACTTTGACTGGTTACAATTCTTAAACTACTGGTTCAAATTGAATGAAATTTTAAATATACCATGTTTATACAATATTTACTCGGTTACTGAAAATTCATGCTTCTATTTTTATTAACCACCAAGTTATAACAGGTCGAAAATGCCCTGAATTGCTTCGAGAAAAGATGGTACGGCCGTGCCTTTTTATTGCTCGACTTGGCGGGGGCGCTGCCGTGCCCCCAGATATTGATTTCTGTTTATAAAATTGCATTATAAATGTATTTCAATTGTAAGAACATTTTTTCGTCCGTGTCTTACATCTGTATAACGGTGTCCTCCATATTAGTCATGTCGTGACGTCACTGATCCAGCCTAAGGATATTAGTCTTCTGTATTAAGAGAACTAGCTAACACGCTGTTTTATTTCGAAAATTTTCAAGTTATCATTACGATTATTGAGCTTTATTACTAATTTTATTGAAAAGGCATCATGGAAGTCGAATTCGTAAAAACAGAAAGTACTAATCTACCAAGGATAAATAAATTGATGGTGGCAATTTTTTTTTACATGCAATCGCAATTTTTGTTCTGCTGAGTTGAGGAATGATAAAACATCAATGTTAGTACCCATTACCAACTTTTGTTTATACAAAAACACAATGTCAGGTTAGTGTATTTTGATAAAACATAATTTAGTAGCTATCATAGGTTTGTTTATCTATAATTACAATTATTACAAAATGTGACTTGCGATACCCTTTACCTCATGATTTTTGTTTTGTGTTACAAACGATAGTTAAATATAAGTCATACTTACATCAAAATGATCTTCACAGAAGAATAGTCTGGTTTACGTAGACAATGTATTTCCTATATTTAAATCAGTCAGCACTTGAATCCATAACTTTTAGAGCGTTTTTACGCTCGTATTTTTGCATTCAGGCACAACACAACAATGATTTAGACAATAACTCATTATTAAACATTAAAAAGTTACTTATTCCTTTGCAAAATCGGCAGAATCGTCGACTGTGACGTCACGAGTTAAATAAAATGGCGGCTAGCGTTTTCGAGCGAAAATTTAAAACGATAGATTAAAAGTAAAGTTATGGCTCTATTTGGTTTAAAAAAAAAATATATATATATATATAATTATAGTGGTCCTTTATCATTCTAGGATTAATTTAAAACATTTTTTTAAAATGGGTAAAATACCCTATTATGTGCTTAATTATCACCATTTTACTTTAAAATAAAAAAAATGAAAAGGACATGGCATACGAAATTTACATTTATAGTTGGAAATAAATAATCGAACAATCAAAGGTAATAAATAAGACATCCAATACTGCGATGTCCAGTCCGCCTGTCTACCTTACGATAGGAAAGTTCCATTTACAGTCGAGAACTCAGACAATTGATGAACTAAAAAAAGACACTATTATTAATTTCTAAGAAATTACAAAAAACACACAAGTGAAACATTAGTCATTAAAAATACCGTTTTAATTTATCATCTTTATCTCTAGGGCAAGGAGGGTATTATCCTGGCACACCCGGAAGTCCCGGAACTCCTGGCAGTCCAGGTGGCCCAGGAGGCCCTGGAGGCCCTGGAGGACCCGGTGGCCCAGGTGGACCCAGTGGACCGAACGGACCCGGAGGACCGAACGGACCTGAAGGACCGAACAGACCCGGAGGACCAAGCCGTCCTAGTGGACCAGGAGGTAATCAATATGCGTACTAAATCCATCATTGCTCATCAATGGTCATTCAATTGGAATCTATGTATTGAGCATTATAATTTTAAAACCTAGCCAACTAAAATTTTCTCAAAAAACATTCTTAAATAAAAAATTCTACGTTTTCACTTCAAATCATTCCCTATCTACTAAATTAACTTTTACGTAGTAAATCCACGCTGCAGCTACATTGTGATTGTAGTACGAATAGGTAGGCTATATCGAAGCAGGATCACACTATCACCGAATATCAGCTTAAAATAGCAGCCTTTAACTGTAATGTTTCATATTCTGACTGCAGCGAACAGGGGATATTTTTTTCTGAAAACGAGCCGTAGTCCTCAGCGTGATAAGATATAGTGTGGTGTAGGTGTTATGTAAATGGACGTGGATGTGTATGGGCCATGCATCTATTTACCATCAGGTTAATTATGTGCTCGCTGTCACCATTTTACTGTTAAATAAAAAATAAAAAGGACATGGCATAAAAAATTTACATTTATAGTTGGAAATAAATATTCAACCACCAATGTTAATAAGACATCCCATACTGCCATGTCCAGTCCGCCTGTCGACGACGGGAAAGTTCCATTTACAGTCGTGTACTCTTTCAGGTTAGTGAACAAAAAGACAACAAAAATAAAATATATTTATTTGTTACAATCCACTAATATTAGTTTCGAAGAAATTCCAAAAACTCACAAGTAAAACATTATTTATTTATTTATTATTTATTTAATCTTTATTATACACCTAATATACTAAGGGAAATAAAGGGCGGACTTAATGCCTTATGGCATTCTCTGCCAGTCAACCCTGGAAACAAGTAAAACTTTAGTCATTGAAAATACCGTTTTAAATTATCATTTTTGTCTCCAGGGCAAGGTGGGTATTATCCTGGCACACCCGGAAGTCCTGGATCTCCTGGCATTCCAGGTCGTCCAGGAGGGCCTGGAGGTCCAGGTGGATCCGGTGGTCCGAACGGACCTGGTGGACCTAACGGACCCGGAGGACCAAGCCGTCCTAGTGGACCAGGAGGTAATCAATATGCGTACTAAATCCATCGTTGCTCATCAATGATCATTCAATTTGGATCTTTGTATTGAGCATTATAATTTTAGGACCTAGCCAACTAAAATTTTCACATAAAACCTCTCTCCGGTTTCATTTCGAATCATTCCCTATCTATGAAATTAACTTTTACGTGGTAGATCCAAGCTGCGGCTATATTATAATTACAGCACAAATGGGTAGGCTCGATCGAGGAAGATTGACACTCTCACAGACTACCAGCTTAAACCAGCAGCTTTTAACTAAAATGTTCCATATTTTGACTGCAGGCGTGAATGTGTATGGGCCACAGCATCTATTTACCATCTGGTTAATTATGTGCTCGTTTTTCACCATTTTACTATAAAAAAAAATTAAAAAGGACATGGCGTAAGAAATTTACATTTATAGTTGGAAATAAATAGTCGAACCATCAATGGTATTAAGACATCCGATACTCCGATATCCAGTCAGCCTGTCCCCCTTACGACGGAAAAGGTGCAGGTGGCTCAGGAACGTGCTTTATAGCATACCTTGGGAGAGGCCTTTGTTCAGCAGTAGACCTGTGAAGGGCGGTAATGATGATGATGATGATGAATTTGGTTTTAATTTTTCATTTATGTCTCCAGGGCAAGGAGGGTATTATCCTGGTACACCCGGAAGTCCCGGATTTCCTGGTAGTCCAGGAGGTCCAGGAGGCCCTGGGGGTCCTGGTGGACCAGGTGGCCCAGGTGGACCCGGAGGACCGAATGTATCCGGAGGCAGCCCTAACGGTCCTGGAGGACCAAGCGGATCCACTGGACCAGGAGGTAATCAATGTGCGTGCTTATTTCATCATTGCTCACATATGGGCATTTAATTGGGATTTTTTGTAGTAAACATTATAATTTTTTAACCTAGCCAGCTAAGATTTTCACAAAAAACCATTCTAAACTAATAATAATACGGATTTATTTAAACCATTCCTTATCTATTAAATTAACTTTCTTGTGGCGGATCCACACTGCAGCTATATTATGACTATAGCACAAATGTGGATGCCTCGATCGGTAAATGATCACCCTATCATAAAGTAACAGCATAAAGTAGCAGCTTATAACTGCTATGTTTTATATGGTAAGTGTAGAGAACAGGAGATCTTTTCTTCTGGAAACGAGCCGTGGTCCTCAGAGTGACAACGCATTCGTATTTTAATTCCTAATCTAAGACAGATATAGATGGGCATTAGTTGCCATCAGGTTAACTTTGTGCCCATTTGTCACCTTTTTACTATAAAATTAAAAAATTAAGAATGACATGGCCCAAGAAATTTACATCTATAGATGAAAATAAAAAGTAAAACCATCAAAGGTAATAAGGCGTCTGATACCGCGATCGTTAGTCCGTCTGTCACCCCCCCCCCCTTCCCCCGCCCGTCCCCCTCCCTCTAGAAAGCTTAATTCTTCTGTTCGATACTAGATGGCGTCCTTCTAGAAAGCTTAATTCTTCTGTTCGATACTAGATGACGCTGTTGGTGGAAGTTCAGGATTGACATTTTCTAGGAAGCCCTCCTTGCTCTCGTCCCCGACACTAGATGGCGCTAGTGCCAGGTACCAGAGGGCAACTTAGGCGCGCAACAATAGTATACTCGTATTTATTAGTTACACTGCAATTATATTTCTAAGAAATTACAAAATAACACAAGTAAATCGTAACGACATTAGTTATGGATAGTGTCATTTTAAATTATCTTTTTTGTCTCCAGGGCAAGGAGGGTATTATCCTAGTACACCCGGAAGCCCCGGATCTCCTGGCATTCCAGGTAGCCCAGGAGGCCCTGGAGGCCCTGGAGGACCCGGTGGTCCAGGAGGACCAGGCGGCCCTAGTTCAGGCACCGGAGGCAGTTACTATCCAGGCGGTGAACAAGGTAAACATGACAACAATTTAATATAATATCAATAACAAACAAACCGTCAATTCTCGCTACATAGCTATAAAAATATTTTACAAGATATTAAACTAACAAAATTTTCAATTTATGTAACCACTTTGACTTTTGGGATGTAAGAAGAAATTATAAAATGGTTTTTCTTCGACATTCGTAATGCGTGTAGCAAAGGATCCACTCCTTACGATAATATGCCAGGGTATCTCTTTCCATTCGATTTCAATGTGGGTATCTTCTGGGTAAGAGTGAATATGCTATTGTCTAACAAATTCAGTGCGTCGCAATCGTCGGCTACATTTTCATTAAGGTCAGGTAAAGTTGACTGCATAGTTGATCTAATACGTAGGCAATACGAATCCCGGGTCGGGCCAAAAACAATTTTAAAACAAATTTATATCATTACGTTAACGACATACTCGTAATTATGTGATTAGTAATGTATGAAATAAAACTGGTCATAATCAAATTAAAAAAAATTGTTTTTGACATAGATACTTTTAAATGGATGTCGCTACCTGTCCTAAAATTATGTACCAAGGCAAAACAATAAATTAACAAAAAAATTTCATTTTATATTTGTGCAGTATAGATTTTTTTTTTCATAGTGAATTCTTATATTTACTCGAAACTACTACACTCTTTTTACGAATTTATCACATTTAAATTAACTCTTTAAATTCACAATATTTGAGCGCTTCACACTATCCATGGCCATGACGATGATGAGGTGGAATAATGTACGTAAAATATTTCCCAACTACTATGTTGTCTTTTACTTTTATTTATGGGGGCTTATTTCTTCTGAGTGTTCATTTTAGTGAAAAAATATATTTAATTATTCCACATAATTGAATAATACTACTATAAGTTGTCTTTTACTTTTACCAATTTTTCGGAAAGAAGCCCTTTCGCCTGGGTAAAACAAGCACGAAATTTAGTGGGCCAGTTTTATATATTATTAACAAGTTGGATGTCTTGATGTGACGATATTTTAAATTTTTTAAAATAATCATCACTAACAAGTTTGAAGTATTGTAAGTCGTTTGATTATCATAACATAGATAGATAGAAAATATAGCCTGGATTATTCCTAGTATTGATATTTTATAGCTATCTCATGTAAGATTTTATATTTAGGTACTACAAGCTAAAGTTTTTAATAAATTATTATTATTATTATAGTACTGCTCCCTATCACAACCAGTTCAACCTTTACGGAGATAAAAACAGACAGTCAGAAAAAAATTTATCATTCATGTCTTACTGGTATGCAAATTTAAAGTGAACATGATTATATACATAAAATTAGTTTTATTCAACTTAGCTGAAGTTTACCATATTGGTAACTTAGTCACTCATTGGAAACCGAAATTAGTATAACATATAAACTTATTTCAATTGTAATATTTTGCGTCAGGAAACGGACCTTCCAGTGGATACTACCCAGGACAAAGTGGTAGTCCTGCAACACCCGGTACGCCGGGTGCATCAGGTACACCTGGTGCTCCTGGCTCACAAGGAACCCCTGACAGCCCTGGTTCACCAGGTTCAAGCGGCTATTACCCTGGTCAAAAACCAAGCGGACCGGGTAAATCATTTTAATTATAATAATTTATAAATTAATTCGAGGTTTTTTTTTTATATTTCATTTCAAAAGAACACAAAAAAACAATCGATTTTGATAATTAATAGGTGCAGTCGGCCCCCCTGGAAGTGGATATTATCCAGGTCAGCCGGGCAGCTCAGGTTCACCTGGAGCATCCGGAACCCCTGGCGTACCAGGTAAAAGATTAATATGCGTGCGTTTCTACTGTTAACACGTGCAATATCAAAGTTGAACACAGACTTGGATGCAGTATTAATGACACGTATCCATTCATATTTCTCAAATATGGCATTCGTCGCTCCTAATAAATACTGCCTGTCGCTTAACATTATTTATTTACAGATTGAAAACCACAAAGAATAAAAGAAAGAAATAAAAAAAATGAAAGGATGACAGAAAGAAAATCTTTATTTCGCCATGTAATAATAACATCTTATTTAAAACAAAAAGTGATAAGACTTGAATGGAAATAATAATTAACCCTTAAAGAATGAGACAAAAAAAACACAGCATTTGGGGTGGCGAACCACAGTTGCTGATTTTATGTAGTTCAATTAAATGATGTGTTGGTACTACATTGACTACTTTCATTTTATAAGAAAGTAAAGTAACATCTTATGTTTGTCTCACAACGGACACAAGCCACCATTAATTACTAAGAGGGCACTAAGTGTTAGGAATAGTCCACAGCGTTACTGCAACGAGTGTTAGCGGCGGAGTAGACATATCCTCGAAGTATTTTTTATTTCTTAGGTGTGCCGATTTCAATTTCAACATCTTACGTGTTGTAAATCAGAATCAGCAATCAATATTAATCAATAGGCAAAATAAAGAATCAACCGCACTTATTGTTGGTACATTAACTAAAAATTATAGTATCTTAATTAGGATATTGAGTATTCAATAATATTTTAATATTCAATGATTTGATTATGAAAATTAAAAAAGCTGCTTTTCGGTGGTCCAGGAGCTCCAGGAGGTCCCGGTGGACCAGGTGGACCAGGAGGTCCAGGAGGCCCAGTGCGTCCTATCGGCGGTAACGGCTACTATCCAGGCAGTTCTGGTTCTGGTTCTCCTCTACAACCAGGTACGAACAACGTTCATTCTTGTTTGTCTAATGTCGGAATAAGATAGCCAGGTCCGTCCATTACGGACGTCACGAAAGTCACCTAAGGTCATAACAAAATCTTAATAATGAAAGCAAAAAAAAACAGCGTTGTAAAGTTAATATACTTGTCTTTAATTATATGACAGGTATGTAATCAAAGATACTTGTATACCGGCGTTAATTTTTACCGGTGAATCAATTGTGTACACTGTACACAATTTCCATATCGCCTCAATACGACATGTACACAACACAAAAATTGTTGAAAATATTGCAATATTGCTATCAAGCTCTTATTCCATCAAGCTTTTAATTCAACACAATCAAAAGTACGATTTTTATCTCATATAGAAATATACCTATACCTATAGAAAACTATCCGCTACCTAAAATCATGAAATTTTATTTTACCTAGAATTTTGCGAAAACGTTGACTGACCCAATCTTCGTCGGTGGCAACCAAACCTTTACCAACCAATTATTTTTAGATAAATGCGACCTGCATTTACGTATTATGCATCTAGTGGATGACTGTGGTGGTAACCCCCAAAATTTTACTTTTTTCTTCAACAATAAGTAAAATTTTTCAACCAAACGAATTTTTAAAAATCTGTGGTACTTATATTGAGTACTTATTTATTTCTATTATATTATTTTGGTACTTATACTATTTGAAAAAACCTGTTATCCTATTTGTAAAAAAAGACGATTAATTCTACTATTATTCCATGTATATATTTATTCTTTTAAATTTTCGGACATTATAAGCTAGCGTGCACTCAGCTGCCCGAATTTCCTCGGGGTGGCTGTACTGAAAACCAGTTTTTTCTCAGTAGCACAGGGTTTATTTTAAATGTATTTTCTTATATTTATAATGCTGGTCAATTAAGTAAAGTAAACTTACTGCCTATATAAGTCGCACTGCTGGTCATAGGCCTCCCCTCATTTCTGAAAGGGTTTTTGGGCAAGGAAGTGTCCGCCACACTGCCCGAATGCGTGTTGGCGAACTTCACATGTCTTCGAAATTGGTCAATTATATTTAGTTTTATTTCTCTTTTTACATTTAATTACTTTTTCACGTTTTGTGAATTTTTAAATTTCTTTCTTTTCTTTCTACCCAGGATCACCTGGACAGTCCGGAAAACCAGGACAAGGCGGATCACCTGGTCAATCCGGAGGTCCAGGCCAAGTAGGTCAACCTAGTCGACCAGGACAAACCGACTATCCAAGTCAGTCTGGACAACCAGGACAAGGTTGGGCACCAGGACAACCCGGAGCACCAGGACAACCAACACAGCCTGGTTACCCAGTGCAGCCCGGACAACCAGGACAAGGCGGAGCACCAGGACAACCCGGAGGCCCAGGTCAAGTTGGTCAACCAAGTCAACCGTTACAACCCGGCTACCCGGGGCAACAAGGACAGCCCGGGCAAACTGGCTTCCCAGGCCAGTCCGGTCAACCATGGCAGCCTGGTTACCCAGTGCAGCCCGGACAAACAGGACAAGACGGGGCACCAGGACAACCCGGAGCACCAGGACAACCAACACAGCCCGGTTACCCAGTGCAGCCCGGACGACCAGGACAAGGTTGGGCACCAGGACAACCCGGAGCACCAGGACAACCAACACAGCCTGGTTACCCAGTGCAGCCCGGACAACCAGGACAAGGCGGGGCACCAGGACAACCCGGAGCACCAGGACAACCCGGAGCACCAGGACAACCCGGAGCACCAGGACAACCCGGAGCACCAGGACAAGACACCCGGACCAGGGCACCAGGACAACCAACACAGCCTAGTTACCCAGTGCAGCCCGGACGACCAGGACAAGGCGGGGCTCCAGGACAACCAACACAGCCTGGTTACCCAGTGCAGCCCGAACAACCAGGACAAGGCGGGGCACCAGGACAGCCCGGAGCACCAGGACAACCAACAAAGCCTGGTTACCCAGTGCAGCCCGGGCAACCAGGACAAGGTTGGGCACCAGGACAACCCGGAGCACCAGGACAACCAACACAGCCTGGTTACCCAGTGCAGCCTGGACAACCAGGACAAGGCGGGAAACCAGGACAACCAACACAGCCTGGTTACCCAGTGCAGCCCGGACAACCAGGACAAGGCGGGACACCAGGACAACCCGGAGCACCAGGACAACCAATACAGCCTGGTTACCCAGTGCAGCCCGGACAACAAGGACAAGGTTGGGCACCAGGACAACCCGGAGCACCAGGACAACCAACACAGCCTGGTTACCCAGTGCAGCCCGGACGACCAGGACAAGGTGGGGCACCAGGACAACCAACACAGCCTAGTTACCCAGTGCAGCCCGGACGACCAGGACAAGGCGGGGCACCAGGACAACCAACACAGCCTGGTTACCCAGTGCAGCCCGAACAACCAGGACAAGGCGGGGCACCAGGACAGCCCGGAGCACCAGGACAACCAACACAGCCTGGTTACCCAGTGCAGCCCGGACAACAAGGACAAGGTTGGGCACCAGGACAACCCGGAGCACCAGGACAACCAACACAGCCTGGTTACCCAGTGCAGCCCGGACGACCAGGACAAGGTGGGGCACCAGGACAACCAACACAGCCTAGTTACCCAGTGCAGCCCGGACGACCAGGACAAGGCGGGGCACCAGGACAACCAACACAGCCTGGTTACCCAGTGCAGCCCGGACAACCAGGACAAGGCGGGCCACCAGGACAACCCGGAGCACCAGGACAACCAACACAGCCTGGTTACCCAGTGCAGCCTGGACAACCAGGACAAGGCGGGAAACCAGGACAACCAACACAGCCTGGTTACCCAGTGCAGCCCGGACAACCAGGACAAGGCGGGACACCAGGACGACCCGGAGCACCAGGACAACCAACACAGCCTGGTTACCCAGTGCAGCCCGGACAACAAGGACAAGGTTGGGCACCAGGACAACCCGAAGCACCAGGACAACCAACACAGCCTGGTTACCCAGTGCAGCCCGGACGACCAGGACAAGGTGGGGCACCAGGACAATCAACACAGCCTAGTTACCCAGTGCAGCCCGGACGACCAGGACAAGGCGGGGCACCAGGACAACCAACACAGCCTGGTTACCCAGTGCAGCCCGGACAACCAGGACAAGGCGGGGCACCAGGACAGCCCGGAGCACCAGGACAACCAACACAGCCTGGTTACCCAGTGCAGCCCGGACAACAAGGACAAGGTTGGGCACCAGGACAACCCGGAGCACCAGGACAACCAACACAGCCTGGTTACCCAGTGCAGCCCGGACGACCAGGACAAGGTGGGGCACCAGGACAACCAACACAGCCTAGTTACCCAGTGCAGCCCGGACGACCAGGACAAGGCGGGGCACCAGGACAACCAACACAGCCTGGTTACCCAGTGCAGCCCGGACAACCAGGACAAGGCGGGCCACCAGGACAACCCGGAGCACCAGGACAACCAACACAGCCTGGTTACCCAGTGCAGCCCGGACAACAAGGACAAGGTTGGGCACCAGGACAACCCGGAGCACCAGGACAACCAACACAGCCTGATTACCCAGTGCAGCCCGGACGACCAGGACAAGGTGGGGCACCAGGACAACCAACACAGCCTAGTTACCCAGTGCAGCCCGGACGACCAGGACAAGGCGGGGGCACCAGGACAACCAACACAGCCTGGTTACCCAGTGCAGCCCGGACAACCAGGACAAGGTGGGGCACCAGGACAACCAACACAGCCTGGTTACCCAGTGCAGCCCGGACAACCAGGACAAGGCGGGGTACCAGGACAACCCGGAGCACCAGGACAACCAACACAGCCTGGTTACCCAGTGCAGCCCGGACAACCAGGACAAGGCTGGGCTCCAGGACAACCCGGAGCACCAGAACAGCCAACACAGCCTGGCTACCCAGTGCAGCCCGTACAACCAGGACAAGGCGGGGCACCAGGACAACCCGGACTACCAGGACAACCAACACGGCCGGGTTACCCAGTGCAACCCGGACAACCAGGACAAGGCGGGGCACCAGGACAACCCGGAGCACCAGGACAACCCGGAGCACCAGGACAACCCGGAGCACCAGGACAACCAACACAGCCTGGTTACCCAGTGCAGCCCGGACAACCAGGACAAGGTTGGGCACCAGGACAACCCGGAGCACCAGGACAACCAACACAGCCTGGTTACCCAGTGCAGCCCGGACAACCAGGACAAGGCGGAGCACCAGGTCAACCAACACAGCCTGGTTACCCAGTGCAGCCCGGACAACCAGGACAAGGTGGAGCACCAGGACAACCCGGAGCACCAGGACAACCAACACAGCCTGGTTACCCAGTGCAGCCCGGACGACCAGGACAAGGTGGGGCACCAGGACAACCAACACAGCCTGGTTACCCAGTGCAGCCCGGACAACCAGGACAAGGTGGGGCACCAGAACAACCTACACAGCCTGGTTACCCAGTGCATCCCGGACAACCAGGACAAGGTGGGGCACCAGGCCAACCCGGAGCACCAGAACAACCAACACAGCCTGGTTATCCAGTGCAGCCCGGACAAACAGGACAAGGTTGGGCACCAGGACAACCTGGAGCACCAGGACAACCAACACAGCCTGGTTACCCCGGGCATCCCGGCCAACCAGGACAAGGCTGGACACCAGGACAACCCGGAGCACCAGGACAACCTACACAGCCTGGTTATCCAGTGCAGCCCGGACAACAAGGACAAGGTGGGGCACCAGGACAACCCGGACCACCAGGACAACCAACACAGCCTGGTTACCCAGTGCAGCCCGGACAACCAGGACAAGGTGGGGCACCAGGACGACCCGGAGCACCAGGACAACCCGGACAACAATCAGGAGGTGAGTCTTACTTACACATTTGTAAACCTACATTTATCTATTCAACTTTAAAGTTCATGCAAGTGATATGCATTACACATTGAATCATCTAATACTAAAACTTTACCTCTAATGTTACAACTGTACAGGGGCCGTTCCCATTGTATAGGAATTTTTCTTTTATGACCACGATTGGCAGGCGAATTAGGGATTCGAATCTTTGACGCGACTTATCGCCATTTTGGATATTTAACATAGGTACTTCCAAGAAATATTGCAGTACAAGTGCTTATTTAACGCGTGATCGGTGTTAGAAAACAGTGATTTAAAATAAATATATTAATCTCTGCCCTTTTAGTATATTTACGAACATTTAATGTAAAGTAAACACAGTTAGCTAGTAATACCAGTTACTGGATTCCATCATCATCATCAATACAGCCCTTTACAAATCCAATGCTGAGCATAGACCTCCTCCAGTAAACGTCACAAAGCAAGGTCCTGAGCCACCCACATCCAGCGACTTCCTGCTTGTCTTACCAGGTCGTCACTCCATCTAATGGGGTCAACACTTCTTCTACCGGTACAAGGCTGCCTTTAGAGAACCTTGCTTCCCCATCGGTTGCCGGTTCTTCGACTCATATCTATGTACATGACCATAACTCCTTCATGAGGAAATGTATCAAAGAAGGGTGAATTTATCAAAATGTTTTGATTTGTAATATTAAAGAATACAACATGCCTGATAATAACCCCTGGGAATGAGGTGATCGCTAGGCGCTACCATGCTGTTAATTTTTTTTATTCAATTAACGTTATAAATTATTATTTTTTAAAAAGAGTCCCGCTGAGTTCGGGTTTACCAGGTAGAGGATTTTTCCGAACCAGTGGCAAAAGCATAAAATGACTCAATAAGTATTACTTAGAACTATTTTGAATAAAAATATTCCACTCTATTCTATTATAACGTGAAGAAACTTACATATCTAAGAAATAAAAAAAAAATATTTCAAAGATATGATAAGGTCTGTGGCAGCGAGCAATTATTTCTTTTTTGTCTCAAAACCCTAACCCCAAAAAGTAAGTAAGTAGTAGTAGGTAAGGAGACCTATGCCAATATATATAATATTATATTGTAACAACATCTCCTTTGAGTAGTTGGAAAGACCATTGTCGGCATACCTAACTATGGGTATACCAACTTTAGAACTTACTGTTATTTATAAGCTGTTGTTTATGGAAATTGTTCTCTTTTGGTACCTCGACTAGAGTAGATGCATGAGTATATCGCCAGCCATAATACTTAGGCGTAATATATGAAATGAAATGGATTAGAATGGAAAAATATAGTATTATGCTTGTTCTTTCTCTGATACATTGGCAGGAAAAATGTCAACAATGTTTTATTTTATTTAACTTAACGTATTTGTTACCCACATTATATATTAATGTTAGCTTTCTGCACTCCTTCTCCATTTGACTTTTACTAAGCCAAATCTCAACGCCTCTATATGCGCAATATGTTTGAAAAGGAGGTACAAAGTTTTCCCTTAACGTATTAATATATAGATAAAAGGAATATTTCCCAGTAACAACCCTGTGGTTATAACTCTGCACTTGTTGTTTACAAAAATTTGCTGTTTAAAATGTCTACATTCTATTAACAAGTTACGAAGACGACGCGGTTAGCTGTGTAGACACAAACTATATAGTACCTGCCTACAATATGTGATTTGTGAACACACAGAATCTATTGAAATTGTATTCCTTAACAAGAACATAGTAAATGTAACTTAGGCTTTTTTATGTATTCTTCTAAATATGGAAATATTTGTGTATATCGCCTGCCAATTTTCGTAACATATTAATATTTATGTAAGGTTAATTAATTATGAGATTAATACATAAATCAAACAAATTATTTATTACAGATGGCTAACGTTAATAATAGAATATTGTAGAGTAATTAAACCCCAAACATTAATTACAGGTGGTGATTCAGTCGGCCAGCCTACTGGAACCGGAGTTCAGCCACCAGTTTATCCACCTTACACCCAGATGCCGCCATTCCCTATTTACGTCATTCCGTACCCCCTACCTATTGTACCAAGTCCAGGATCATGTCCATGTTATCTTTTAAATCCAGGGAAAAATGACTCAACTGCAGTTTCTCAACAGCAAGGACAGGGCTACCCAGCTAACCAGGGCTATTATAGTCCATATGGTATCATTGGATTCATACCGGTCGTATTTGTACCTAGCTGCCCTGGAAATGCTACCAGTATGCAGTCTGCTCAGCAAAACTTCCCTAATGCTGTACCGGTTCCTTACAATTGTGCGCAATGTCAAGAAAATAGAAGTGTTTACAGATATCTGGGAAGACTAAACGGTGGACGTAGTGCTAATCTTAAACTAAATGATTTAAAAGAAATTCGATCCTTAACGGAACTTGAAAACCTCTTGAAAGATCAAATAAAACCGATGCAGAAGAGTCTACGAAAAATAGCCGCTCATCCAATAATTTTAGATGATATTAAAACTTAGAAAGAAAAATGCAGCAACAGTAAATTAAATTGTGGGTAATAAATTATTAAAAACCAAGGTTGGTTAGGGGAAAATAAATGAATCATACGATTTCAATTAATTTTGAGACTGTCCGATAGTGTCTTGGACGATCTCAATATTATTCACTTAATATTTATTCTCTACTTAATATTTATAGTATTTTGATAAGAAAATGATGTTTTGTAAAAATTTACATATTATTGTAGAATTATGTAAGTAGGTATGTAATATTTACAACCATAATACAATGCATAATGTATGATTTTAAATACTTGCGATAATTCTGATGTCGCAACTTTTGTAATTATTGAAAATGCAATAAATCTAATAAATTAACTTTGTGTTTTTATTAAGTAATATTACACAGCGTGAGTGTTGGTCATCGGGAATAGATACAATAGGAAGTTAATCTGTACCCGGATTCTGATAACAAATAATATAATATGTAAAAAAGACATGGCCTTATAATTTCAACAAATTTATACATTAAAATAGTAATGCTATTGGTAATTATAATTTCGAACGAGGACCAAAAACGCCAAACGAAATACCTATACTATGTCAAAACTGTTCCTAGGCCCACGTCTAATTTGCACATTCAATATTATTTTTATTTTTGCTTCTTAACTTCTTTATCAATAAAGAAACCAAAACAATTTATTTATATTTTTTGTCAGTTTGTCTGTCCCATTGAATAGAACTGAAAGCACTAGATAAATTTTAAAGAAACTTGTTAGGATAATAGTTTATACCCTGGAATACAATTGAGGATATAATTTTTCGAGTAAACAACGCGCAAGTTAAACACGTAGCGTGGTTAACTTGCGCGTTGCACCGAGTACCTAATAAGGAATTGTCATAATGATTTCTTATATTTACGTGAACACTACACATTGATTAAAACTACTTTTACGGATTTATCGCGTTTAATTTAAAAAAAAATTAAAATTAAAAGCGATATTTAAAAAAAAATTAAACGCGATAAATCCGTAAAAGTAGTTTTAATCAAGGAATTGTCATTTTATATAACACTATTTTGTACTTATATGTGATTATAATAATAGTGTCCTCCAGACCTAATATTCGTCATGGCGGTCAACCTCAACGGAGGCTAGCCATCGGCGCAGGACATGATTTTAGTGCTCAAGTGTATATATATATATATATATATATATATATATATATATATATATATATATATATATATATATATATATATATATATATATATATTCTTATTGTAATTATGTATATTATATATTTTATATTCATATGTATGAATATTAATATAATTTTATCTATTTTTTGCGATGTACCATTTATATCTTATGTATTTTATTTCCATGTATTACAATTTTTTTTTGTTATTTTGTTTTAGTATTCGCATATTAACTTTTTATTACACCTACTTCATTCTATCTCTGCATCATCCCAAGGTAGACTGGGAGAGAATGCCTTAGGCATTAAGTCCGCCTATATACCACTTGTGTATATGAAGTTTTAAATAAATAAATAAATAAAGATCTATATATTGGGCAACAGACTAATTACATATTAACTAGTACAGCGTCACTTTACAGAACATCAAATATCTTCGGATCGGATGGGTATAACCAGAGCTTTCGTCCCCGATATAAAACTGTGTGACATTTTTTGTGAAGGGGGGGGGGGAATCTGCGCACACAGTAACAATCGCCGCAGCCTGTCACTACGAAACTCAAAAAGCGGTTTAGGTGCGACACGAATGGTCCACGCAACTAACTCCCAGTGAAAAGAATAAAAAATATCATACGTTTTAATATTTTATACAAGTTTTCATTCGGCACAGAAAACGACTTGACCGATTTTGCTCAAAATTTAATGAGGTCTGTTACAAAATTATGCGTTAAATAAAACTGGTCCCACGTCATTATCACTCTTGTTCTCAAGATACACGATGCGAAAATTGAATCCGCACATACATACGTACATGTGCACACACCTTAAAACGTTGAGATGAACGTAAACCGTAAAGACCTTGAAACGTGGAGATATGTTAAAATTTCCAATTTGCTAAATCGGACCCATTACAATAACTTCCCACTGGGAAGTTAAATATAACAAAACAATTTCACACACACACACATAGACAATTTATAACAATATCGTTCAATAACAGCTACAACTCGGATACAGATTCAGATCAGTCACTCGACCAATCTACATATTGTATGCGGGCGAGCGGTCTGTGTTGGTAAACAAACCCGAAACAACACAAAGCCAAGATCGACCTTTGAATCACTATTTTGAATAAATGCCCTAGCTTGACATATCCCAAATAAATTCTATATACTGTGCCTTGATGGCTAGTTGTCTACTAAATTTTTTTAGCTTAGTAGACGCTTTCTGTGCTAGTTTGTAAAAATGGCCGAGACAGTCAGGTGATTCTTTAAATGCTATTCTAACACAAAACCTTCCTGTATCCAGACGACTAGTATATCTCGGAAAATATCAGCTCCTATTAGGACGTCTATTCGGCCGGGTGTCACTATGTACGGCCAATGCTATGTATGTCAATATGTACGGCCGGGTGTGTCGAAACATGGAAATGCTTAGGTATTTTTAAGTGTTGTGTATCAATATAAACTTTAGAAAATACACCGGTTAATTCTTTTAGAACTAGACAAGACAAAATAATATTATACTTAGTCCTTGTTTAATGACTTTAGTTGTAAAATGGCAAACTTCCGTCACTTGACCAGAACTGTTGATTAGGCAACAATCATTTATTGAATTTTTGTTAAATTACATTCAAAACGGAATAAGTTTTGTAGTTAATGAAGATTGGCTGCCACAACAAGATAAGAAGAGTTACCACCTTACTAGTGCTTATGTTATATACATACATCATTGCAGTAGATAAAGTCATTTGTTCAGTATTCTGAGCAAAGTTAGAAACAGAAATATCTATTGGAATACCTTTGCATATTTGTGTTGAAAGAAACTGAACTAGTGGGAATATGACACAAAGTGTTGTGTCTATTTTTGCACTCGTGCCATAGCCCCATACAACATTAACGTACATTAAAACACCTATAATATATACTCAAAAGAATACTGAACTGAAGTAGCAATGGGTCGGTTATGTAGTTCAAATAACGGACAGTGAATGACGGAAGAGGCCACTCTTTATATAGAGTAATAATCTGGAAAAAAAACATGCCGGAAGTTAATGGAGGCGGGTGACTGACGACTTTGTTTCTTAGCATTCCTTGAGAATTGCCTAAGATCAGCAGTTAACTTGCGATAATGTTCTAATGTCTATTTGAGATATTGTTATAATCCTATACTATTAAACGAGCAATTCTTGTATATATATATATATATATATATATATATATATATATATATATATATATATATATATATATATAAAAATCGGGATCTCGGAAACGGCTCCAACGATTTTCATAAAATTTAGTGTCCAGGGAGTTTCGCGGATAATAAATCGATCTAGCTAGGATTTATTTTTAGAAAATGTATTTTTGTCCGTGTTTTTAGGCAATGAAAAACTGCTACAATATCGTTAGAATAAGAAGGTAAATTTTGATAGGTTGTTAATAATTATAAATAGCTTAATTGGTATAATGGGCGGTCACAGAATCGTAAAACCCCGGTTCGAGCCCAGACCGACCGACCGACTTTTTTTAATTTCTTTTTTTCAAGTTCCTTTCTTTTTTTGAGAAAATCTATTTTTTCGATCCCTTTTTTTTAGATTTTTTTAAAAACACGAAAATTTAAATTAAAATAATTGCACTTATGATTTTTATTCAAATAACCAGTTCCGTTTTTTCTGTTATGTCGCTAAGATCAAAAAATATTATTTATATTTCATCAGTATGTAATTTGTATCTAAATATAATTTTCAAAACACACGAATTAAAACGGTCAACCAGGTACTATCTATAAACACAATAATATTCGTAATAAGTCTATGTTGAAACTGTGCCACTGTGCGAATGATTTCAAGATGAAATTGAAAATAAAAGCCAGTATGTCATAAGTAATTTTTTATTTAAAACAATAATACTTATATATTTTCATTATTAATTTCTTTTTTTCCACTCCGTTCTACACACGTCCACTTATTTTTCTGCTGCTATACGCTTAAACTATGTTTCGAATAGTGTTTCGAAATACATGGTAAATATGCAATACCACTTAACTTTTAAAAATATTCGACTATTACATACAATGTAGTATAATCATAGACTTATATATTACTAGAGTGCAACGTAATAAAAATTACTTACAAAACTACTACAGTATCGTTTGACAGAATAATAAGTAAGTTTTTATTTCCAAAAATGTAGTACAGCTAGATATTTGCTTAACATATATTATATATTATACTCGTAATAAAGCTAATTTAGTTCTTAAATCAGAAACATAGCATCTGCGGCCGCACTAGGAAACCCGTGCATCAGCCGTCAGTAGCAAATGTTAGAATGGAAGCAAAAATTAATTAGTTAAATATCATCTAAAGAGTTTGTACTTTATGCTAACATAACCTAGGTTTTTTATATTTATTTTGTTATAGGATAAGGTGACAAACGGGCACACAGTCCACGTGATGGTAAGTGGATGCTGTGGCCCATAGAAATCTATATTTATTCTCGATTAAGAATCAAAATACAGATGCCTTGTCACCCCTGAGGACGTAAGATGGAATACCTCGTATCCAGTAAAAAAGGGTCTTCGGATCTCTGCACTCACCATGCGAAACAGCAGCATTAAGCTACTATTTTACGCTGGTATTCTGTGAGAGCGTCCTTCCCCGATCGAGCCGACCCATTCGTACTACAACCGTAATATATAACTGCAGCGTGGCTCTACCACGTATATAATGAATCACACATTATGTTTTATATACTTACGTATAACCAAAATAATTATTAATATAAACAATGTCATTCCTCTCTCTTAAAATTTGTAATGCA